CTTGCAAAAGTATTAATTTGTATATAACTTTTTCACATCGAGTCAAAATGTACCCACAAACTTTGATTTATTTGAATTTTACTGGGTAGGCCAACACAAAGTAGTTAGAAATTAAGGAAGTGTGCCACTATGCACCACCTCATTTACATATATCTTAATAAGTATGTTGTACACAATCTTGGAAAAATACTTAATAGTAAGAGATATCATTTTAAATGTGTTTTATAATTTATGTCCTGACATTAGATCATATGATTTACATGAAACGCCACTTCGGCGCCGCTGTTGGATAGATGGGGAATTATCGCTAATTTAATCAGACTCGCAGATCCGTCATAATGTTAATATTTGTGGTGCATTAAAGATTCCATCTTGGTGATAAATGAGAGAAGAAAATAGAGCAAACTAAAAGATTTACTGTTACTTTCACGCAAGTATTAAAACATTCACACTGACTGCAGCTGCGCTTATGCAAATTGTTTATTTGCTATCATGATGCAATAACTATCTCTTAAATATCTGTGTAATAATAAATAATTCAACGCAACATAAATATTTAGAATTTGATGAATAACTGAAACTATTTACTTATTTATAACAGAGCAGGAAGACGCCAGTCGTCTGATATCTGAACACTGAACCGTAATGTTTATAGATTACACTGGCACTCCCCCCATTTCTTTGTTTATGCTGTCCATTAAATTTTCTAATTTCCCACTTTCTCCTGCCTGCTGTTTGTAACATCACATGATCCAAGATAATCAGAAAGAACAATGTGACTGCTGTGCCGCAGCAACAGTATCACTCTGGCTGCTGCAACTTGAGAGGCTTAGAGAGAAGAGGAGCACAGATTTTTGTTTTTCTTCATGTTTTCCACCTCTCCTGCGAAGTAATCCGTTTTCCATTTCATCTCTAATTCATTTTTAGATACCACCAAGAAAAGAAAAGAAAAATAACAGAACTAAAACTGGTATTCCTGTGAGATAAAATTTGTCTTAACAATTTAACGTCATTTGATGCGCCGACGCTAAAAAGTCTCTCAGGTTGCTTCCTCGCTTACTTTGTGTTGCATATGCGAAGAGTGCCGTGAGAGGGAGACGTCACACTGGGTCGAGATTGCTTCTAACCCTGGGGTTCCGCCGGGCCACAGATCTGCAGCGTTTCATCTGCGACAAACTTTTCATACAGCCGCTGCTCCGTTTCTTCCTCCACCATGAGGTTGACATCGCATTCAGGAAAAAAAAAATACATATGTGTAGCAGTCTTTTTATTTTCAGGACATCTCTGAAACCTGCTGTTGTACATCTGGTGGAATCACAAACACTGTCTTGAGTGGGTGCTACCTCCTCCGGTGCCCACTGTGTGGTTAGAGTGCAACACAGCTGTCTTTAATAGAGTTCATGTGCAACAACTCCACCAAGATCCACGATGTTGTGAAAGTGCTGAAGTGAATTGCTTGTGCAGTTTCTCACTTTTAGCTTCATGATTTTTCCCACAAATCAAATAAATTAGAAGATTACTCAGTAGACGTGCATCAATTTATTCACTTTAGGCAGAGCTAGTGTCAGATAGTTACAGTATAACTTTAATGCTGCTCTTATTATGAAGACGTAAATCTAAAAGGCAGTGGTGTCAACAAATTTTTAAAACTGGGAAAAATTAAGTTGAAATAAAATATTTTTGTGAAATTCAGATTTTCTTTACCTCTTGCAAATTGACAAATTGTGCCATATTTATTTCAAATAACTGCAAAAAAAGATTTCTGTAAATCATTGTGGAGTTGAAACATAATAGTGTCCAACATGTTTGCAACATGAAAGGAAGGCGTATATTTTTTAACCTTTCTTGAGTGAACTTCCTGCTGTTTTGCAAGTAAAAACACTTTTTTTTTAGTAAACTCTGAGCAATAAGATCATGATATGGATTATTATTTCATTGAAAATGCTTGTAATACAGAAAGATAAGTTGATGGTTAGTTGATCTGAGGGTCTTTTGGAGTAAATGTCTGCTGATGTTTGAGGTTCAAATTCCTATACAATTAGAATAAAAGCTTAAGTTACACCCTAAACATGCCCCAACTTGAATTGTTAACCAGGAACACACAAAATCATTCCAAGGGCCCAAAATAGCCCCCGGACCGCACTCTGGATACCCCTTGAAGTAGTAGCTTTTAGAAATGTTGGTGTATTTTTATGCAAATAATGACTCAAACATACCTCATGTGTTCACTTCTCCAAGGTTCCAGATGCACTTATGAAAGACCTTCAGTTGTAAATGTGGCATTTGACTTTGTCTACATGTTTGAAAAAGAAAAAAAAGTCTTAATTTTTCTTTGTAACCTAAAGCAGCACTGAAAGAGACTGGGATTATTTGTCTATAAATAAAAAGAAAATTGCCCCTTTCATAAATTACCAAACTGCAAGTTGACATGTTCACATTATTATGGTTGATTTGGTATTGTGAGCTGCACAGTGTGTTTCTCTGACACTTTATTTGAGCGTTACACAGCAAACATAATGTGCTCTGTCTTTATCTCGTTTTTCCCTTTTTTCCTCCCCCCTGTAGGAAGGAGAAAAGTGCCAACAGCTAGTGTTACAGACCTCATATCAATAAATATGTTAAGTTAGAATCTTGTCTTTCAAATTGCCTTTTGTCTTCCCTGCTCTCCTTCGTGTCCCCCATACATCATGCAGCCTCGCGGTTATTTCCGTAAAGTGTGCCTGTTAAAAGACCCGTCCTGCTCTTCCTCACAGCCATTACCAGAATGTCCAACCCCTCCCGTCCCCCGTTTCTCCTCTGATCCACCTCGTATGCATTCTCAAGACTCCAGTGTTGCCATGTATTTTTTTTTTTCTCCTCGGATATTGGAGTAGGATTTTTTATTTTTATTTTTTTATCTTTTTTTTGTAGATTTACTAATTATATCCTAAAGGAATTGGTGCTAGATTTTGTAAACAAGTGATTATCTCAACAATGAACCGATACTATGTGCTGTGTGTAGTTCTAAGAAAACATTAACTAGCCTATAAGCATATACATTGTTGTGTATAAGAAACAGATTTGTTCAGGGTAAGCAGTTTGCGTTCTATATTTGTGTCAGTGTGTCTCAGCGGTGGGCAGCTCCCATGTAAACAATAGTCTGTTCAGAAGTCCCATGGCTGTGCTCTGATCCTGTTAACAGCTCCCCTGAAACCCTAGCGTACTTTGCTGCAGCCACTATTTTTTGGCTACAGCCGTTACTATAATCAGTATTTCAGCCAAAACATTACTCAGTACTATCAGTCAGGCCTCAAGCTACTATAATACTACTATCAGAAGGCACAGTGCCTGACAAAGACCTCCCAGCAGCTCAGTGTGAATGTAATTGTCTCTTTTCTTGCATCATCAGCCCACCTCTCTTGCTCGTTTGCTTCCCCCTTTTCACCATTAGTGAAGCTAAGATCACAGTGGCAAAGCATAGGGATCTCAGAGGCACCATCAGTGGAGAAACAGGCTATGTGATACTGTGTTTTGCTCGGTGTCATTCCCAGGAGTGGAGTCTATGGGAATTGGGAAGGAGGAGCTGGGAATCTCCCAGTCTGTCTATCCAGGCAGCTAGCTGTAAAGTCCAGTAATGACAGAGAGCTCAGGCTTCACTCATGCTGAATTACAGCTGAACTGTATGTGGATCTGGTAGAAATGTGTGTGTGTGGATGACTTTTAGTTGACTGGTTGGAGGTGGTTTGAGATCCAGTTGTCAGCTAAATTGCTGTCGTTTTTTTTTCTAATCATCTGAAAACAAACTGAGATCATATCTGAGCTTTAAAACCTGGTTGAGAGGAAATGGTCTGATGGCCTCTTTACCCTTATCTCAATACCACTGCATTTATATCTAAATGTATTTGATCATTTTACAACCAGTTCATCTGAAAATGATTCACTATAATAAACAAAAGAATTGCCATATGTCTAAACCATGTGCTATTTTTGTTATTTATAAATTACTTCATTAATCTAACACAAACAATTCATTTGGGGTTATATCTTGATAAAAGGGAGCATTTTTAAAATGTCACAATTTCTAATATTCTTTGACACAATAATGCTCATCCAAATTATATTCCTGGAAATTCTTTTCCTGAAATTTAAATTTTGTTCTGGAATACAAACAGAAAAACTGCATTTTGCATTTCATGTGAACCATTTTGTAAAACTTTTGAACTTTTGCCCTTTTTTAGGTCCTGACCCTGAGCTTCAGAAAAATGTTGGTCTTTTTAAGAAAAAATACAAACCCATGTATTCTGGGAAACCCTGACCATGCTCTTCAGCCAGTTTTGTTTGATGGAAGTCAGAGTTTTATCAGTGTTTTTATCATTCATGTATACGCTCATCATCAGCCCAAGCTTCTTGTTCACTACTCATCTTACATATGAATCCACTTAGGAGTTTATTTTTCTTTCATGGCTATAAAAATCTACCAAAAGGTTTTCGATCCACTACTCTGTGAGCCAAATTTAGCCGGAATCGCAATTCATTGACAAAGCCTCTAAAGTTATTTATATTGCATCTGCGTGCATCAATAAAACTAAAAGTGCAACCTAAACTTGGGACTGCATCCATGCTCCTGTCCCGTCTGATCCCATTAGACATTGCTTGCTGTTTGAAGTTTCTACTTGAAAGGCCTAATCTGAATACTGTGGATTTCACAGCTACTCTGCAAACAGTGATTACAGACTGATTAATGAGCCACAGCAGACACAACTACACACTGTACACACGTGCACACACGCACGCACGCAGGCTTTCTAGGCCACACACAAATTGAGTTTACTGTAGTCAGTTTGTCGCAACATACAGTCTGCCTCCGTCGCAGCTGGTTTTTCTTTCAACATGTTGCCATTTGTGTTGATTTTGTTACGGAAAGGAAGGATTTTTTTTTTTATTATTATTATAATTATGATTTCCAGTAAATCCAAATGTTGATAATGATCTATTGGTATCTTTTCTATTTTTTTTTACAGTGTCTGCTGAAATTTTAAAGGGCAGTCTGACCACAATGGAGAAGCAGATTGAGCGTCTGGAGAACGATATCGAAAACTTCCCCAAAACGGACGACCCCCAAGATAAGTTTGTGGAAAAGATGTCCATATCCTTTTTAATCCGATGATTCTCGCACCTCTGCATGCTTGTTTTCCTCCACACCGAATAACTTCACATGCCGCGTCGTTGGTGTTGCTCGTAAACGTGCATGTTTGTGTTCTGCCCGGCAGTGGCGAGCAGTTTAAGTCACTTGGTGTGATAGGTGACACCCAGGGGAGTGTGGTGGGAATGTATCCGACTGCTTTGCTCCGAAATGTTGATCAGATCTCCCTCTTCATTCCTCCCTGTGTCCCAAGAGTGAAGTCGTGCCCATGGCTATTTTTACTGCACTCTGCCACTGCTGCCTGTCTCCTGAGGGCCTCTAATAGGGGCTTCTAGCCCCTCACACCATCTTATCGCGTATCCCTGATTTCATCTCTTGACCGGCCACACAAGCCTCTCCACAGAACCATCTTTCCTCATGGCACCGCTCCTGTTTCGATAACAGAGTGCTTCACTCTAACCTGAGCATCTCTGCTCCCCCCCAAAATTAAATTAGCCTTGTCCCTGGCTTTTTTTCCCAGCAACCTCTCTGAGAAAAAAGGTCCTCAACCTGCAAGTTTGATCAATGGTGAAAATCAAATCTCATGTCAACACCCCGAGGTTAGATTCCCTTACATTAGGAAGAGTAAAAACATTAAAACACTCTCCAGGATCCTTTTTGTGGCTTCTAACGCAATAAAAAATGATAAAAAAAAAAAAAACTCAACTCTTGAGTAGTTGTAAAAGTGTATGGGTGTACTAACACATAACCTGATACTTTCTGCCTTTAATCTGGCATTTATTTAGATACTGAGTGCTAAAAGAGTGATAGTCTAAGATCACAAATAATCTGCTTTAAATCCCCAAAAAGCGTTTAACGTGATGAAATTAAAATGAATGAGCAAACCCCAGGCTTTCACATGGCTTCAGGAGCTAGCAGGCAGGAAAGCTGCTCTGCCCCCTGATGCCAGTATTGATTCCCTGAATCCTTGGAGAACTGGAGGGCTAGAGCGAGAGGAAATGGGGAAGTGTAGATTTACTGCAGTATGGCTCTCTTTCACTGTCTGGAGCTCCTCCCTAGAGGTTAGCAGTGAGAAGCCGACTGGCATGACCTGAAAAAACCTCGCTCCCCTCCTTCTCCCAATCTCACCTGAAGGTTTTGGTGTTAAAAGCTAAGAAAACTTTAAAAGTCTCTGATATTTTTGGTTCTTGTCTTTTCCTTACACTTTCTTTTCTTAAACAAAGACTATCACAGATTCTAGTTTAATAATTAAAAAATAATTTATAGCCCTTAATTATAATTAGTTGGACACAATGCATCCGCAAACTTAAATCTGCTTAATTTTTGGCCATTCTTCTTTGGAAAAAGAACTGATTGAACTGTTAGATATGATGAAGATCTTTTGTAAATAGCAGTTGTTAAGACTTCAGTTCAGATTTCGGTCTTTACTTTGACTAGGCCACGGTAACACATAAATATACATTATCTAAACCATTCAATTTCTGTTCTGACCCAGTCTCAAGACTTTTGCAACCTGCTTTTTTTCAGAATTGCCTTCAATTTAACTCAATTCCCTCAAATTTCTGCAGAAGATAAAGATGTCCACAGCATGATTCTACCATTACTGTGCTTACATATGGGTGGTGTTTTCAGAATATGCTAGATAAACCAATGTTTACTGTTGTTTTGGTGCAATCTGAGCACCTTTTTCTACATTTACTGTGACTCTTACAAAGCTTGAGAAAAGCTTTGAACAGGATATTTTACAGCGCATTTTAGACATTTATCTTTTTCCTTTCTTCTTTTAATTGCTGTTAATATCCCAAATGAAAAAGCTGAGGGGAGTGTAAATACTTTTTAAAGAATTGGCATGAGGAAGGAACAACATACTTTTTCAGAACTACTTCATTTTTTTTATATCAGTTACTATCTGAATAAGCAAAACAAATGTGATTTTTGAACAATTTAGAATATAATTGAAAAACCCATTTATTTATCATTTATACTTTATCACCAAGTGAAACACATTATAGAGATTAATTACACACAGATGGATAATTGAAAGCCATTTTGATGATAATGATGATTTTTCAATTTATGAAAACATGACATTTAAAATTAAAATATTCAGACCAAAAATGTTTTTTTTTTTTTTACAAAATGTGGGCTTAATTTTAAAAAAGTAGTTATTTTCAGATGAGACTCATTGGGACATTTATTCTAAAGTATTGAAAATGAAGGTAGATACTATACCATAAATGACATTTTCATATTTTAGTCAATAGAAGAACTAAGTTTTATAAGTTGATGAGATGTAACCATGCTCTTCTAAATGAAATGTAGCTTAATATGTAGCTTTTTTAGATGCTGCTTGTGCTTCTGCTGTGGAAAAATAAAATGTTTCATTTCTGTCTCTCTGCGACTGTTGGCATAATTCCAAATCTCATTACGCTCCAGTGTCTCTTAGACATAATTTCAGCTAATTAAAGTGGGCTACATCTGCCATCTTTAGCAGTTTTGTGTCCATTTCAGTGGAGAGAAAAAAAACATGATTGCAGGTTAATTTCAAAACAAGTTTAACTGACAGAAATGCCTCTCATCATTTCCTCTCGGCTTGGTGATAACTCTCTGAAGCCAGACAGGTACTTCTATCAAGCACTGGCTTTATATATCTTTATTGGTGGTTCAGCCAACTGAGAATATAGCTGAACAGAGATGAAACAAATTTACATTTTCATCTCCAGAATGTTAACCTATGAATTTTTCTCTGCTTTAACATGACTGTAAGCCACCCCTGCCATGTCTCTTCTCTCATGGTATTTCACATAGATAACATCATTTCCTGGTTTTGCTGCATCTACTATTGGAAGAAATGCAACAAAATTATTATGTTCTAGATTCAGTTGATGATTTTAGCAGTTATAATATAATGGCATTTGCTTGTATTTTAATGAATGCATACAAGAGAAAAGCACAGACACAATATTGATAGAGTTTTTACATTTACTGGTGATAGAGATCACTATTTGGTCCTTTCTTCCCTTAGATAAACACAAGCAATACGTATATTTGCTTTAACCTACTTGTTTTAGCTGAGTCCAATTTTTCTTTTATAACTGTAACATAAGGAGGTAAAATGACACTGTAAAATAATTTTACTGTTTCTAAGCAGAGACATAATCATCACTAAGTTTATGTTTTTGTGAGTATTTATGAGAGAATGCAGAACCTTACCATATTGCTGAGATTTCAAAAAAGCTGCCTCCATTTTCTAAATCAGACATGTTCCATGACAGACCGAGGTTTGAAAGTGCAAAATAATCTCTATGATCTGCTTAGCCTTCCTGATATCTACTGAAAGTCTTGCACTCGCATAGCCTGGATAAACCACAAACATGTTGTAGAAAATACTACTGGTTTAGATATCGTCTTACATTCCTGTGGATCCTTTGGCTTCACTTTTACAATAGACGTATGCAGTATTTTGCCAATTGGAGTTTCTTAAATGTGTTTTGACATTCTGGTAAATTTTTCTACCTTTTCAGAATCTGCAGCAGGTTTGGTAGTTTTTATAATTTGAAACAAATCAGTTGATTGAAACTAAAGTACATAAACCAGGATGAAACTCCTGCTTTTATGTAGAAGGTTTTATTGATTGACTGTTGGAACAATGATTCTCAGGACAGGACTTCTTTCTGTTTAAGATTTTTTTTTTTTTTTTTTTTTAGCGTCATCAATACGCGTGAAGTAGAATAATTAAAGTGAAGATGCTTCCTTTAACTTTTTCCAGGGATGGTAAAAAAAGGTATGTTGGCTCCTTGAAGCATGACAGATGGAGGAACAACACCAGCTAAAAGTCATGCATTTGATGCTTGAGTAGCCCTGAAAAAGTTATGTGAAGCTCTGTTGTCTTGCCTGATGTGTGCTGTGATGAATGAGACAGTCAGTGTTTGTGTTCATTAGAAGTAGATATGCAATGAAATAGGGGCCACTTTTTTTAGTGTGAATGATAATTTTTTAGAGATAAACCATAGTTTAAAAGCAATGTTTCCTATTTAAATTTTTTTTGCTTACTCTCCTTTCTTCTATTTTTTATGTGTTTAAGCCAAAGAAATTAGATTATTGTCGAGTAAAAAGTCAATAAGGAAGTTGTCAAATTACTTGGTTACCTTTTAGTTAAAGTTGTTGCCTGAAATGATAGCAAAGAAAAATAATGGAAGAAAGAGAAAGAGAGAGAAAGACTTACCAGAAGCACTCCATTTGGCTTTATTGATACATTTTTCTCTTTTCATTACTGTAATGTATGCAAATTACTGAATGGGGTGTTTGTTCAGCAGTTTAGTGATCTCTATCTGTCAGAAGTAATGGGGGCCCAGAAAGGCTCTACATTTGAGGCGCAAGACCCTAGAGAGCCTTATTTCACTGCAGAGGCTATTGCTTTCACATGCACCATCACACACACAAACACACACGCATAGATGTAGAAATGTGTGTTTGCTGCTGGTTGTTACAGAGCAGAGTAGAGTGGGACTCTGCATAGTAGAATATTGATGTAGTGAGGCGGCTCGATGGGGCGCTATGAGAAACCAAGCAGAAGCTTGATGAATGCTTGGACATGTCTAATACATCTCACTGTGTCGCGTTTAATGACTTAACCCAATGTATTGATATTCAGCTTAACCTTTTATTTCCCTGAATACCACACTCAGAGTATTTCGTTGTCTCCACACTGAGTGACAAGGAGGAAGGTGGCATTAAGCATTATTACTTTGGTTAGACTTTGTGCTTCTGGAAATGAGCAACACTGCAGTTGGGTTTCTCCAAGGGTTTTGTCAAGCAGTTTGTTGTAATTGCACATGTTGCGAAAGAGCTATAATCCTTGTTTCTCTGTCCAATCATTTATCAATTTGTCTCCTGATTAGTTGCTATCAGATCAGAGAGGTAACCTGTTGTTCATGCTCAGGTTTTCCTTCAGTAAAGAACTATTCTTTATCCAAGAGTTTACACAATTAGTTTGGATTTC